AACCTATCAAAACCTTTTTCATCACATAATTGTTTGAACTAATAAATAAATACTCATATCCTCAATTCATTCTTAATGCTTTAACATTCTATTTAATTGATTCTCTACTAAGGTCACATGCTTTTTAAAAGACTCTAATGCTTCAAACTTGTGAAGAATCAAATAGATGAACCCAAAGCATGTAAAATCATTAATGAATATGATGAAACATTGACTTCTTTTCCATGATCATATATTCATTTGGCCACAAATTTTAGAATGTATCAATTACAATGGAACTTTAGTTATAGTTCTTTTACCAAATGGTTTCCTTATCATTTTTTTTTTCTAAACAAGTTTCACATAGTGGTAAATTAAATTTCTCAATAAGGCCTAGTAATCTCTTTTTTGATAGTTATTTATTCTTTATTGACCTATATAACCAAGTCTAGCATGCCAAATATTTACCTAAATATTCGCATCAGAATCAACCATAAGGGAAAAGCTTAGATTATTATATGAAATAATATCTAACATAATAAAACCATATAAAATAAGTTGTATCCAAATACAAACTAAAACTAATATTGTTGAAATTCAAAACAAATCCTAGACTAAGAAAAATAGTGATAGAAATCAAATTTCATTGACTATCAAGAATAAAGAGTACATCATATAAGATAAGGGTTTTTCCACCTGCATGCATAGTTTGCACATGGCAATTCCATTTACTCCAATTTGTAAATTATTTTTTATATAGATCCATTTTGTTTCACTTGGAATTTGATGAAAATCTCTGAATACATTCTTTTCTTGTGCTACATAATCAATGGCCCCTAAGTTTGTAATCCATAAAGGATGTGATTCAGTCATCATAATAATACTACAAAAAAACACACTGTTTTTAGCATTATATAAAAATGCTTTAAAGATTTGTACTTTCGTTGGCTTGTTGCATTCACGAGCAAAGTGACCTCTTTTACCATAGTTAAAACACTTGACTCTTAGTTTATTTTTTTTAGGATGAGCTTTAGGAACCTGTTCTTTGTCAGTTTGCCTCTTTTTGGTTTCTTATGCAATTTTTCCTTATTCCTACCAAGTAGCTTACATTTAAAGCTCAATACTTCTTTTGAATTAGATGATGCCATATAGACATCAACACTAGACTTATATGCTTCCATATGATCTTTCTCTAGTTGAAAATGATAGAAAACATCATCAAGTCTTTATACTCTCATTGTAGGCAAATTGCACCTTCATGTGCTCCAAGTTGTATGGTAAAGAATGAATGATAACTTGAACTTGTTGTTCATCTATCAGAGTGTGGCCAGCGTCTTTCAACTCGCTTATTATATTTGACATCTCCTTCACATACTACCTCATATTATGATTATGCCACATTTTATAGGTGTCAAACTTAATAGTAAGTTGCCTCAGTTTGATAACCAAAGTTGTACCAAACTTTGCTTTCAAGGCTCTATACATCTCTTTGGCTATTCCAAGAGATAAAAAATTATGCATAATGTCATTTTTCATACTACTAAGCAACATAATGCATGCAGTGGAGTTTTTCATTTTCTAAGCCTTATAAGCCTTTCGATCCATCATATGCTGGGACATTTTCCTTTTATTGAGCTCATTAAGGATATTGTTAAAAACATTAAGAATCTCTTGTTCTTTAAGTACATACTAGATTTTCATACTCCAGATTTCATAATTGATTCAGCTTCTACCAAATTTCATAATTGTCCATATTCAGCTTCTAACCCTTATTTATCTCAGTAATAATATTCTTAAAAGTAGAAACCATTCCAAAGTATAATTCTAATTTTGTCACAAATAAAACAATGACAATCATTCACATAAAAATGAAACCAAAAAATCATTATATTCGTAATCAAATTTTATATTTTAATAGGTTTGATAATCACTAATTTATTTCATTATGCAAAATCAATCATTCTAAGATAGAATAAATTAATTATCTTAGAATTCCTATTAATCATAAAGTTACCAACATATAATCAATAACATATATTGATTTCACATAATAAACATGTTCATAGTAAAAAATATATACATATTGAATGCTAATTAAACAAGTTCCCAATCATTTTTGAATGCCTTGTCTAAGAACAGGGATGGATTTCAAAAACTCTTTTAATATTTTTGCATTCACATCATCCATCCATAGAGATTCAGGAATTTTTTTATTTTCATTACAAAAACTTGGCAAACTGGAAAGGTTGCACTCTTTTTTACCCCTATTTTTATGTATTTCTTCACAAAATTCTTAATTAATGTTTCATATATAAGATCACTTTCCAAAAGACATCCAAATATCTTGAAGAAGATTCTTTTGTCTATGAGTCAAAAGTGTCTCTGTTAGCATTTCATGTTTGATCTAGTCATTCCTAACACTCATGAATCTACGTAGATCAATTTTTGGATCATGTCACGAACCTCGATGATATATCTCTCAATATCATCATTTGAATCCATTTGGTATTGTGTTAATTCCACCTTCAACTTTATGATTATAAAAAATCACGCCTATATCCTCATAACGATGGAAGTGCTTACAAAAAATTCATGATTTTCTGTGTCAAAATACTAGAGGAAATCATAAATTCATAAGTCAATGCAAGTCCAAAAATAATTAAAACTCATCTTAATCATTCTTGTATGATATGACATTTCAAAGTCAATTAAAGACAAAATAATTTTTTAAAAAAATTCTTTAAAATAATTTAAAAATATTTTTAGAAAAACTAAAAGGTATTCAAATACTTTGGAAAGAGCATTCGAATGCTTGTTTTTTGTTTAAAATTTTTTTTGAGTTATTCGAATGCCCTGAAGAGCATTCAAATGCTTTTTTTCTATTTCAGAAAATAACAGTTAGTTTTTAAAATTTTGTCTAAGGCATTTGGATAACTTTTTTGGAAATCGAAAAGAAAAAATCCAAATTGTAGAACATCAATGGCCTTTTACTTAAAACATCTAAAAATCACCATAACATTAATTATACAACAAAATTATGCAATTATGTATCATCTCTTATAGATTTTCACAAGCATATAAGAACATATCAAATAATTTTAGTGTTTTACAAAGAACAAGCAAATTGAACCAAAATTCAAACTAAATTAGCTTTGATACCAATGAAAGATAAATTCGTGTAAGATATATATGAACATATGTATATACTTACTTGTTTAACGGAATTGAAAGTTAAAATTTGACTTGAATTACTGGTCATTAAATAAAATCATAATACGAAAATTATTTATTTTCAAAGTGTAAGTTTTTAAACACACCAAGTGCGAGAATTCTTTTTGCAAGTTGTTTGATTGGCGATCTCTATCCCTTTCTCTTAATGTTCTTTTATTACTCTCTTCTAGTAAATTTATTTAATGGCCGAATGCTATATATTTCATAAGAGATATGGCCGATAATTTATTGGTTTTAAAAATCAAAATTTAATTGCGGTAGTTCATTTCTAAGAAGCAAAAATGTCCTGTGGCAATTGATGATAGTGGGTGCTAAAGTCACCTATTATAGGCGGATCCCACCTCTTTTCTTATGGTATTTATTTATTAATAAAAATTTATCAAAAATTTTATTAAAAATATTTATTTAAAAAATATATTAAAATTTTTAAAAAAATTATATAACAAAATCTTTTAATTTATTAATTTATTTAATTATTTTTAATAAAAAATTTTATAAATTTTATTTAAAATACTTCAACGAACTCTTTATCAATTTTGGACATCTCAGAGTTAGTTCCCCCGTCCCGACGTAGGGAAAGGCACGAATGCAGCATTGCGCGTTGAATAGCTGTTAGCTATAGTTAGCTAGGAAAGCAAAAGGTATAGAAAGCAAATTTTCGAGTTCCTATGCAAAAGTATCTCAATTTTGTTAGCATATATAGGCTTTAAATAAAATCTTTGGTGGTCCAACAAAACCTGAATCTCTCACAAAAAGTACAGAAAGACGACTGGCGGGAGTGCAACAGAAATGCAGAAGTGATTTTAACCTTTTTCTCTTTCTAAAAGCTTTATGAAAATGATTATTCCGATCAGTTTTTTTATTTTTAATACGATAAGGGTATTTTAAATCTTGTTTGGATTTTTTTTTTTGCATAATTTTATAAATGCATTTTCTATATCGATTAAATGCATTTAAAATTTTATCAGAATATTTCTTACAAAGCTCAAAATTAAATTCATTAAAAAAATTTTCTTTTTTTTTAATACTAAAAAGTTTAGAGTAAAAAGAAACTTTCTTTTTTCAATATTAAAGGAGATTGCAAATATTAAACAAGACTTACATATTTGATTTATAGATCATCTCTAAAAAATGTTGTTAATTGCGAAACTCAAATATAAATTTTATAAATAAAATATTTAAAATTTACCCACTCAATTAAGGATATTAATGGAAAGAACATGAGACGAGTAAAGTATTCTTCATTTTTTCTTCAAATTTTTATATTATACTCGTTATCGAATTCATATTCAATGAATATTTTAAATTTATTTTCATCATCATCCCTATTAATATTTAATGCATATGAATAATCTTTATATCAAAATTTATTTTTTAACTTTTTATTGTATTTTGTATATTTACGTAATTTTTTTTATAAATATATATTAATATATTTTTTAAATAAAAATATTTTTTTCTAATTAATTATAAATAATAATTTATATTATTTAATAAAAAATTTATTTAATAAATATTTATAAACATATGTAAAGTAAAGGTAAATACGGACACTATATCATCTATTTTCATTCCTGTAATTGATCAAATTTAAAATATCTATCTTTATTTTCATAATATAATATATATTTTTATCCGTTTTTGATAAAACATCGAATCTCCATCGAATATGGATAAAATTGGCATCTAAACCCAACTAAAATTAACCGATGCTAAATTTTCTTTCTTTTATCAACTGAACTAAACATTAGTGGTGATGGATCCCAGTTTTCACTGCTGAGTTTACTACCCTGAGACAGGGTAAAATACCCCTCTTGTCATCTATATATGATATTTCCTTTACATATGCAAAGAACAATACGCAACCGTAGCCTAATAAAAACGCCCAAAAATAAAATCTTTGCTGCCCTCCGGGCTTAGTTTTTTCCCACCATCCCCACCTCTTTCTCTTTCTGCATTTTATCTTCAAATCTCCCCTCGCTTCTTCATAGGAAAATGTCGAATATATTCTGGAAAAACATTCATCGCTGCTTCACAAGGCTGAACGTGGAACATGAATCTTCAATCTTACCACCATCACCCATAAAACAAGATTGCACAACTTCATCAATAACACTTCCCAAAAACTTCAACTCCCTTTATGACATGTCTTCATCAGCCTCAACCTCCAAGTCCCTTTTGACTCCCTCTACTGACACCGACTTCCTGTCCTCTGACTCCGGTTCTGACGCCGAGTCGCCCCCTGATTTCGCCACTATATTTGCTTCCCAGCGTTTCTTCTTCTCTTCTCCAGGTCGTTCCAACTCCATCATCGAGTCACCTGACACAAGGCCCGAAGCAGAGTTTATTACGGAGACACTACCGCTGGATGGAGGCGTTGCAATCAAGAAATACTCACCGGACCCATACAAAGATTTCAGGTTTTCAATGCAAGAAATGATCGAAGCAAGAAATTTAACTGACGTGAAGAAGGACTGGGCATTCCTTAATGAACTACTCCTTTGTTACCTTACTTTAAACCCCAAAAACACCCACAAGTTTATTATTAATGCTTTTGCTGATGTTGTTGTTTGCTTACTGTCATCATCCCAGGAATCTGATAGCCACCCCAGACCTGAAAACCGCCGCCGGTGATACTCTCTTTTGCCAATTTCCCTCCCTTCTGCTTTTCCTTTTCTTTCCTAGTGAAAAGTTGTTTAAAAAAAAAAAAACAATGAAAATATTGGCGGTTGCTTTTGTTTTTTGGACTCTCGCATGGGAATTAATTACTTTGTCTAATAATAATAAAAAAAAGCATGTTGGATGCAAAAGGACAAAGAAAATTACTGTCTTTGATAATTGCAAACTCAAGAAGCATGGGATGTTGATGTCTCGAGACATGTTGCTGTAATTTTTGCACGTTGGCCGTGTTATGTAAAAAAAAAAAATTGTGCTGGTTAATTCGGCCCATGTTCATGCAAAAAAAATCGGTGTAATTTCTTGTTAATATTGCTCCTCCTTGGTTGAATATTGGGAATGGTGAGTTCTTGGGGAGCCAAAGTTCTTTTAGTGTTCTTGAACTTGTTTGTGGTCCATGGATGCATTGAACTTGTTGGGAAGTTTTGCACACATAATCACGAGGTTGGCTCCCTTCATGGAGCTGTACTTCGGACAACTTAGCTGCTACACGTCAGATCGTTTAGTGATGATTATTGTAATAATTGAAGTCGAATTCTAAGTATAGTTGTGCAGTTTTGTAATTATCCAATGTCATTCTTGGGCAGATAAGTAATACAAAGACAAATAATGCATAATCAAACAAAGTTTACAAATGATATAAGTGGAGAGCTTTTTATTTTTTATTTTTTATTTTTTTCAAAATCCCAGATTGAATATAATAACATAGTTTAAGGAGATGTGCCTAATTTTATTTTATTTTATTTTATTTTATAAAAAGAATCAAAGCGAATGTAAGTGTCGAAAATTAAACTTCAATCTTACGAACATCCATCTCTTAAGGGAGATTGGTGAATACAAGTTTGAGACGTGCCCAATTTGTTAGAATAATAGAAGGTTAAAATACGTGGGCGGAACTAGGGGCAGTAACCGCCCAATGTTTCTAAAATTTATTATTTTTTAAATTTAAAATTTCTTATATTTATATAGAATTTAATTTTAGATAAATTTATACGAATAAAAAAAATTATAATTTTGCCTCTTAAAGATAAAATATAAGATTTTCGTCTCTCCAAACTGAAAATTCCGGTTTTGTTATTGTTAAAATAAAAGGTGGCTTCAATGACATCCAATAGAATTTTTAGTGATACAAATAGAAGACTACGTAGCTGCTGGAAGGATTATATACCTTCATAAGCTATCCAAAGAGGGCTCTCAATGCTTGAGGGTAAATCTTGGAATGTAATACTGTTTCATGGAAGAGAGCAAGAGACTGACGAAAGAGTATTGGAAAGCCATAAATTACATGGAAGAGAGCAAGGGATGGGATTTGTTTCAAGAATTAATATTGAGAAATTTGAGAGGGTGGTTTGCTCTTTACTTATCTTATAGGTGATTAGAAGCTAGAAGGGGAGACAAACCAAGAGGATCCAAAGAGAGATGCTAACAACTGCAAGAAAAAGAATGAATTAATGCTTTAATGTTTACCGTTTAATTAATTAATAATTAATCATCTCTAAAGTTAGTTGGTTTAGGTAAGGTTAACACCAGACCATTTGTCCTTAAGTGTCTCCATTATTAAATTTAAGACTTATTTTAAGCTCTTGAGTATTTTGACATTTTGTGGGATGAATACCTCAATCCAATGTCAAAATCATAGTATGGATACAGAGAGATGTTATAGATATTGAAATTTAAATCTCGAATTTATTAGATGTCATCTCTTAAAGATTATTGTATAAATCAATTAAATTAAATTTTATATTTATGTAGAAACTAAGATGATCTTTATTTGGAAAGGCAAAAAAATTGAATACCCTTGATAGCACTTTGTTTAGATTATTACTATTGTTAGGTAAGTGGGGAAAAGGGTAACAAATGAAGCTAAGAAGAAAATGAGTTATGATAGAAGAGGTTGAAATATGAGGCCTCCCAAATACTAAAACAAGTATGGAGAATCTTAATATTGTTTATATGGTTGTGGTTTACTACTAAAAGACACTGTTTTGAAACAAGAGCCTGAACAGGAAAAGTGTAACCAACATGCTTGGAGCTTTTACTCACCCAAATTAACAGAAAAATTAACCAGCCAATTATATAAATGCCCAGATGGCTTATCTTGTCTGCACATAGGTCTTAACACTAGGATAGTGGCTTTTTTTAGTCACAAAAATTTTCTCTAAAATCTCATTCAAGTACAAGAAAACTACACAATCTATCAACTCTACCTTAATTCAAGGAACATATCACCCATAAATATTGTATCATAATTAATCAATTATGATTCATAATTAGGTAAGATTCATTAAAATATTATGTAAAATTAATATTTATAAGTGATAATTTTTTTTTGTTATAAATAGTTAATTATAAGATTGTTGTAATAAAATATTATAGATAAAATGGTCTCATTATTTCTAATCACACTTGAAAAGTAGAAGTAAGTTGGAGAAATAGATTAAAGGGGGAAAATGTAAAAAATTTATGTTTAATATTGAAGTTTTTTGCTTCTTCCAAAATATTAATTTATTGTTGTTGTTGTTGTTGATTTGATTTATTTATTCATTTTTTATATATTAAAAATTATTTAATTTCAAATTTAATTTTTACTGATAAAAAAATTATTTAATTATAAATGTTATCAAGTATAGCACCCTCTTGTATATAAATATAACCTAGCTATATGTATACATATATGACAACGGAAAAAAAGATCAATTTTGCTAGAGCTCAAACCCAAGAATTTTCAAATAGAGAATATACCAAAAAAAAAAAAAATCAAAAGCATTTGAGCTTGAGTGACAAGGATAAATGAAATTTTGTGTAAAAATTCTAAGTTAGATTCATAATTAATGTTATCTCTACAATGAGTAACTAATAAACCAATCACCTTTCCATCCTTATGTAATAAAACAATTCAAAATATAAGAATAATTTATATTAGACATGTTAATTTATATATATAGTTATATTTATTTATTTTATATTAAATATAATAAAATGCAAAAATTATTGTTTTATAATTTTTATTAACACATTAAACATGAAATATATTTTTAATTTTTGATAAATATATTATAAAATTTATTAAATTTATAAATCATACATATTATTTTTATATCTTTTTCATATCATTAATAAAATTATGAAATATGCATCTTTCCATCATGTCAAGTCAGTGTAGGTAACAACAAATGTTGCCCAGTTTACTCCATGTTCCTATATCATGACGAGTACTTAAATTACTATTTACTTTTCTTTTTGTATTGTTGGCATTGCCAAATGCCAACCCACATAAGTACATATTGAAACATATGAAAGTTAGCTACATAAACACTGTAGCTAGAACAGGAGTTGACAGTTGTTTTTTTCTTCTTTTTTCATATTTGGGATCAAAACGACATTGTAAGGTACTAAAAAGGAGGGCCATTTTGAATGTTTGATTAACGTTTGGAGCAATGCCAACAGAAAGACAAAAACCAATAAAACTTGAAAAGACCTGTACTTTGATATCAAATAGTTGCAAAAATAATGCAAGAGAGAAAACAGGCTGAAACAGAAGTCCAACAGAGAATGGTTTGACCTTCTCAATCAACTCTCTAAACTGATTTCTTGGACCTAGAGATCTTTTCTTTCGGCCCGAGTGGACCCTGCTGCACTCTTGCATGAATTTCAAACAGCAGAATCAACCCCACATTTACATGTTATAAAACAGCCAAGTAGGTTTAATAGAAAATTTGATAATTTATGTATATATATATTATATTCGTTTTGTATTAAATATATATAAAATATAAATAATTATTGTATTAAAATCAGGTGATATATCAGATATAAATGTAGTTTTAAATTTTTATTAAATTTGTATATAATTTTTATTAAAATTTAAGTCATATTACTTTTATGTAAGGTCAACATATCATATTTAAAACTATCAAACGTATTAAGTTGAATTTAAAATATGTGAAAGAAAGAAAACAAGTAGCTTTGGGGATGAAGAAATGGGATGTTTTAATTTTTAAACGTTATTTTTCCTTCAAAAAATGTACTGCAAAAGCTTCTCTCAAAATTGTTTCCATAAGATGATTTGGTGTTTGTATTCTGTTGATAAGTTACTATTTGTGCTCTTGTTTCGTGGGTTTGTCTTCCTCGGGAATTGGGTTGATTTGAATAGCATTTTTTTCTGCTGTGGCCAATTGAATGTATGTGGTTGTTGTTTGCATATGGCATTGAACCGAGCACATTTGCACGCCAAAATTTTAAATCCATTTGGTCATTGTCCGTTGAGATTTGGATTGTAGAGATTGTATAGATTGTGGAGTTAATTTTTTATAATTAATTTCCTGATTTTTGCAGATTTACTTTTCTAATTTAGCTAAACTTGTTTTAAATAAATGTATATTTCTCATTCATGAAGAACAATTCGAATACGATTTTTCAATCTCCATATTTTCTCAACATAATTGTATTTTTCTAATGAACATAAACATTGATACATCCCTGATTCAGTTCCAGCTCTTCTTTATTCTATCAATTGTTCTGAAAAATATTGGGCAAAACTGCCTTAAGTGCTATATATATAATAGATCATACTCCAACTCAAATCCTCATTAATTTTTCTCCTTCTGAACATTTGTTTGACAAACCTCCTGATTATTGTACACTTAAACCTTTTGGGTCTGTTTGTTTTATACTTCTTTAAACATATGAACACAATAAGTTCAAACCACGTGCTCGTATTTGTTGTCTTTTGGTTATGAAATTGAGCACAAAGGTTATCGTAGTTGGGTTCCTATTTCCAGTAAATTACACATTTCTCGACATGTTGCTTTTTGGGAAGATAATATGTTTTATTCTTTATCCAAATTTCATTTCTCCTTTTTTTTTTTACTTTCTCTCGATTGATCCATCTCTCGAGTTATTTTTCTAATTTGATGAAAATACAATTATGAGCTCCACCAAACTCCTACCCTTGCTCTTACTCCTTTGGAATCTGATCCAGTTATTGATGCTGTACTTGCTCCCTCTATTCATCGTTCTACTCCGATAGAAACTCCCCATTATTCGAGTGCTCATCATTGTTTTTCTAATATTGTTAATCTGCACGAATTTTAATCTTATCGTTAAGCTAGTACTAACCCTCATTGGCAGCAAGCTATGACTGTAGAAATTCAAGCTCTTTAAGAAAACTCATCCTTGGAATTTAGTTGATCTTCATCTTGGCAAGACTACGGCTGGTTGTAAATGGGTTTACAAAATCATAACCCGCTCAGATGGATCTACTGAAAGATATAAAACTCGTTTAATGGCCATGGATTATACTCAAGTGTATGAAATTGATTATGCGGAAACCTTTGCTCCTGCAGCTTGGATAACATCTTTGGGTAGCTTGCTAGCCATTGCTGCTGCTAAACGTTAGAATCTTTTTCAAATGTATGTAAAAGATGTTTTTCTCAATGGTGATTTCCAAGAAAATGTATACACGTTGCCTCCACCCGATTATTCTCATTCTCATCATAAAGTTTGTAAACTTTCGACGAGTTTTATTTGGTTTGAAATAGACACCTAGTCACCTAAAACTTGGTTGCTAAATGGAGTTTACTATTGCTCAATTAGGTTTTACTTCCAAACCAAATAACTCAGCTTTATTTGTTCGACATACTTATCAGGTTGATTTCTTTCTTTTTTTTTTTTTTCTCTACGTGGATGATATGATTATCACTGGTGATAATCCATCTTACATTACTAAATTAATAAAGTTTTGTAATTCAAAATGAAAGATCTTAGCACTGTCTGCTATTTCTTGGGGTTTGAAGCATTTTCTAACTCTAATCATTATTATCTTTCTTAGGAAGTATGCATCTTATTTACTTTTTCGGGTTGGTCTTACTGATAGTACAATAGCCTATACTCTTTTGAAGCCTAATGTTAAGCTTACTTTGATGGATGGCACATTGGTTTTGAACTTACTTTATATCGCCAAATTATTGTTAGTATGATATATCTCACCATGACTCATAATCAAATTTTAATTAGAAACTTAGTGTTTGAATTGTTTTTTTTTTATTCGGTTTAATTTAAATTCAGATATTTTATGTTTTAATTTAGTTTAATTTGATTTTTTGATAAAAAAAAAGAAAATTTGAAAATATCCGAACATAATTATATTTTTTTATTAGATTATATATATTTTAAATTTTTATAAAATAAAATAATTATTTTTATATTTAAATCTATTTAAACATATTTAAAATAATGTGAAAATAATAGCAAAAAAAATTAAAATAATTAACTTTCAAAAAACCGATAAATCTAATTGAATAAAATTAAGTTCAGATCAATTCAAGTTTTTAAAAAAATCAGTTCGAATTCATAATCAAATTTTAAAAATCCACAATATTATGTATTAACTAAAAGAACCAAATCTGATATGAACTATCACCCCTATCTGATACTGCTTATATTGTTCATCTACTGAGCTCATTTATGCTTGCTCCTTATTCAACTTATTTCTCAACAGTTCTTGGAATTCTCCAATATGTCATCAGCACACCGTTTCATGGACTTCAGATGTGCTCGATCTAGTACTGAAAAATGTCGCGCTGTTGCTGATGCCACTTCAGAATTACTTTGGCTTCACAGTTTATTAAAAGATATGGGTATCTCACCATCCTCTGCCACTAGACTTTCATTGTGATAATCACAGTGCTATTCTAATTACTCAGAATGATGTGTTTCATGCGCGTATAAAGCATAGGGAGAATGATTATCATTTTGTACACTATTTTGCACAAGGGAGTGATTTTATGACTTATGACTTATGTATCTTTTTCGAATTATAACTGCTGATATTTTTTACCGAAACAAAATTTTTAATAGTTTTCAAGACTTAATTAACAAACTCAAACTGGTATCTACTATAACAACTTAAGTTGACTTTTCTTCTAACATACAGTTTCTTAAAGTTTTATGTACGTTGGACACTGTCTTTGTTCTTGAATGAATTGGCTTTAGCTTTTGGATATCTTTAGCGGTAAATTTGATTGCAAATTTATGTTTTCCGGTTCCCTAAACATGGCAATAATAGGATTACCTCATCAATAAGCATTTCAGTTCCAGGATTTAGGGATAGTGAGTGAATGATACAAAGTTGCGGTTGCTTCATCAACTAACCCACATATAACTAAAACATTTGACGCCAATCAGCCGATTTTCTTTTGCACTTTACTCGACATTCCAGAAGAGAAAGGAGGAAAAACCCGCTTCATTACAATATGAGTAGCATTGATCACTTGCCTTCTTCTCGGCAGAAAATCTGTAGTAGAAGTTATTCCTACCATGAAGAGAATGAAAATGCATCTGCTTGTTATAAGCTAATATTGCATCTGAAAATGTAGTCGAGATATAATCAAGTGGACTTGATAACAAAACCAAGACAGCCTAATAAATGCCTTTTAAGTTGTAGATGCCTGAGCTGCTTTTTTGGGTCTTCTTTGTTTAAGCTTAACCTTCACATTTAAACCATTATCAATTATAGACTGAAGAACTATCTGAAGCTTCCCCTCTAGTCTATCCCCTTTTCTTGGATTGTAAATCACATAATGGATATCATCATCCAATGCTCTCTGAGCTAAAATCTCTCCCACAGCAACACAAGCAGATGAATTTCTAGTCCAACTCAAAGTCAAATTTCATATCCTTAGAAATGGAATGAGCTACAGCAACAACCTTGCTAGTTGCCCGGTGAACAATACAGGCACGAACAGATGCTTTTGATACATGAATGTCAAGGCAAAACGGTCCATGGTAAGGACCAGTAAGTTGATTAAAAGTGGGAGTCATAACCTTCTTTTTCTCAACAGAACAAATCTCCACTTCGTCAAGAAGTTTAACATTTGACTTCTCATTCCTTTTGCTTTCTTTAAGATCATCCTTCTTCTTTAAAGACTCTTTGTTTTCGCTTTCTTTAGGATCATCCTTATTCTTGGAACCTTTCTTCCTGTGAAAGTCGTAAGTATACTCCTCGAGGAAAAACTACGTAATCTTGTAAGGAAACCAGAATTCCCGATTGACGTGAATGCAACGGCTTTTCTAAGCAAATATAATGTCATTTTAGTTGGGGTTGTTTGTTGGCAGAAAAGAAGCGAAATTGGCAGGACTAAAATAGCTTTCAGTGGCAAATCATCAAATAGTTGGTAGACCAAGAAAGATTTGCCTCTTCCAAAAACAATGGAAATGGAAATAAAATTTCAAGGTTGGAGCCTTGGAGGTGTTTTTTAATGAGTAAAGCCTACTTTTACTTCAAGAAACAATCTCCTAAGCTCCTAACACTGATGAGTCTATGGGTACATAGTTGGGAAAAAAGGAGAAAAACTGAAGGTGCGAAAATTTAGAGTCGTGGAATGTGAGAGGAAAAGTAGGATGCTTCAGCCTTCAGGCCTTGCTTCAGGATCACCCAAACACTTGATTAAAGAGCTGCTCCATCGGATCTCGATCTTTTTTGCATGAGATTGTGGATGGAATGAAACATACTCAGATTGCTCGTAAATTGACTTTATTTTATTTATATGGTTAACGTTGGTTCTTATAATAAAATATTTAATATGATATTAAAATTTTAAAAATTGTTAATATAGTAATTAAAATATAAATTTAACGTGTATGAAAAATAAATTATCTTTTTAATATTACATTAATTATAAATTTATAAGTTAAATAATACATTAAAAATTTTAAATTTAAGATACTAAAAGATTCCATTATAATTTAAAAACCAATGTATTCATACCTAATTATTCCTTAACCTATTTCGATAACTTCATGTAATCATGTGGATCGGTATCGATCAGCATCCTTAATCTTTTGACGTAATCCTTAACGAAGTTGCAGATTTCGTTGACTGGTTCACTGTTGCTTCAAAGTTCTAAGTTTGTACCTATTTATTAGAGAGCTTAAATACCAGAGTTAGTAGTGTAAATGAGCTTCTATAGTTGGGAGCTTATTACTCAAACTCAACTCAATCCCAACTCATGCAATTCAAATTTTTATTTTTAATATGTTTTAAATATATCAATATTAACATATATTTTTGTTATATTTATAAGAAATAAAAAAACTTTAATTTTCCCTCAATTTGAGCTCAAGCATAAATGATTTGATTTCTATCTTCAGTGGAACATGAAGTAAAAATTTAAATTCTGTTACAGGTTTTAGCTCGGCTTGATTACATCCTAACCCACTGTTTGATAGATAGAATGAATCCCCCATCCCGTCGGCCTCTTTCTCTTTCTGTTCCCCACTTCTTTCTTTTCTTCTTTCTCATAGCCAGTTGCATTGGCGTACAACACTAACCCATGTAAAATAATGTCCTTGCCAAGACATCTCAAGGCTATACAGTGGACTGGACACTAAATCAGGTTTAGATTTTTGAGACCTACAGTCACCGTCTACCTTCCAGGAAAAAGGAATACGCACGTTCAATGGAATGAAGCAGCTCCTAGTAATGATTAAACCACCTCTTTGATTTAAAAAAAAAAAAAAATTCGAACCACCAAATAGCCTTCCCTGATGGCATTTGGTTCTATTTGAACGCAACTAAAGGACATGGATGTAAGGGCTCAGAAAAACAGAATAACATCTTTCTACAACTAATCCTACATGCTTGTCTTGAGTTTAGACATTGTTATACTTCCATCGTGATTACTCCACAATCACCTAGTACTAAAGTTTAATCAACATTAGAAATACAGCTTCTCACTATGGCAAAGCAAGAAGCAGAACAGTTATAATTAACACACAGACATCGCTACCATTAAAACGGTTAGTGATTACAAACCATTCAGAAAGAAACTTGGATTGGTTGATAGTCATTATATCAGTGGTTACCATCTCTCCAGAGTCGTCATTGTCTATCGGTAGTAAGCCTGCTGATAAGCTGGTGCCAAACCATTGCCATAACCCCCATATGCAGGATAGTTCATGGGAGCTCCAGGGTAAGAACCCGCAAGGGGAGGAGGGGCTGCTTCTGGTGGGTAGGCATAGGGATTGGTGGGTGGGCTCCTGCTTCCGTACATGGCAGGTGGTGATGGGTATGCTGGGACTGCAGCAGGATACTGTGTGTGTGAGGGAGACCTGACAAATGCAGGAGGTGCAGGAAAAGAGGAGACATATGCATTCATCAAACGTCCAGCTTTAGCTGGAGGCATTGGACCACCGTTACTAGCCCGGGTTCGTTTGTTAGCAGGGACTGCAGCTGGCTTTCTCTTCTCAGTCTTAGTCTTCTCTAGCTGCTCAAGGCGTTTCTTGAGGTTTTCAGGTGAAAACTCAGCATCAAGTTTGTACTCTTCGATGCACTTGATGACAGCCCGCAGTGCTGATTGCTCTTTGCGTGCAGCAAGTTGCTGCAAAAATCAAGAAAAAGACATTACTTATTAATTGAAACGTAACTGCTAGATACGAAGAAGGATTTAAGAGGTATAAACGACCAATCAATCTCATCAACCTATTAGCCAATAGTTGATAGTCCATTTCATGGTATTTTAGCACTAATTAGGAAATGAGAAGAAAAGAAATGAATTTAAAGAGCTTTAATGCATGTTTCTTTAGATCTGATCCAGAGATAATCCCACATCCCACATCCCCATTCCCCACCACAAAAGAGAAACATGAAATGACGATACTATCCACCAATATTTGGCATGCTTATCGTACAAAAACATCATAGTTTAATTTATTTCAACAAATAGGCAAATATATGACTGCAGTAAAACAAAAGAATTAGGCATTCTGCTTACAGCAAACCTTGAGAGCAAAACCTGGCATCAAATATTTAATCAAGAAAACGAAAAGGATAATCCAAAATCATAAATAGTAAAGAGTAAAACAAATTATCAATATGAGTAAAAAGGTGTATACCGCAGCCCTGCCCACATTATTGGGATCTTCTAAAATAGAAGATGCAGCCTTCTTTGCATCCCTCAAGAAAGCTTTCAGCAGAGGTACAGGGGGGAACTTGTCCACAAGGCCAACTTCATAAGTGAAATGAACTGCATCAAGCTGCTGTCCCTTACTGATCAATTCTTCAATCATGTCTGTATAAAAGATTTAATGGCGTTAGAAACTCAACCTTATAATTGTAACAATGGATCAATTCCAAATACATATGGGAAAAACCCATAGAAAGCATCAGCAAAAGCACAAAAGTCCATTATAAGCAACATTTTCAATGAAATGGTGGCCATGTTAAGGATTAAATAGTGATACAGACAAGAAAAACAGCATAGCAAATTGGAACCTGAATCTTTACTTGTTGAGTTATGCAAGCTACATCTATTTGATTGCAATAACGACACCTCTGAATTCACATTTTTCTCAGTAACAAATTAACAGAACTCTTGACTTCAACAAAAAACTTGATATATATCCAATCCCATGAGCGTCTAGCTTCACCTATCTCAGCATAAAGTTCTAGTTCTTACCTTTTTTGAACCGCAACTAATAGGTACACTCTTTACAAGAAGCAAAACAATTCCCCAAATACTAAAATTGCATCTAAATATTAGTCCCCAAATGGTCCTCTGAAGGCAGACCATATATCTTCCAAAAACACCAAGCAACAGAATAATATACATATATTGCCAACTCTCCAACACTTGAAATCACCAATGAACAAATTGCAGACAAGCATGAGCCATCTCAAAAGCTTACAAAAGAAAAGGCACATGCTTTACCAACATCCTTGGTTATAAGTCACTTAATTATGCTAGTAAACTATTGCTCCTGACTCTTCATTTTTGCCAGAGTAACTATGTCCGGCAAATATCAAACCGGGATGCCTGTAGAGTTTCGGCTCCAATCCTCCAACTATAACAAAAAACTTTTGAAAAATTGAACATACCCCGTGTAGGAAACATACAGGTATCTAACACTCGCTCACAGATACAAGCAACATATGAAATGCCCTAAATATCTTATCATTAGAACTCTTGAGTTAGTTCTGAAAGTTCTGCCGTCAAGTTCAAATTAATCAGACAATATAACCACTTTCACCACAATATCATCGTGAAACGTAAAAAATTCCAGTGCTTAAGCTACAACATGTTTGAGACTCTATCGTACTCTTACTAACAGGAATTCAAATCATAAAAACATATATAAAAAGAACGTAATTTCATCTCAAGAAAAAAAATCGCATACCAGGCATTTTATAACCGAGGCCAAGGGAAACAGCAAGTTTAGGCATTTGTTTTCTCCAAGCAGAACCAACAACAAGCTTCCTATAAAGCTCCAGATCCTCTTTCTTAACAATCCCAAACGTAACCAAATGTTGCAAAAAGGTATGAACATCTGGAGTCTTAACATTCTCAATCCCTCCTCTCTCTTCAAGGCTCTTTTTCCACGTTTCTGCGATTTCATTCGCCTTCTCCTTCACACTCGGCGTAACCAGCATCCTCGATTTTCCGATCACTGGATCAACCACCACCGGAATCAAGCTTTCCAGAATCAAAACACAAGCCCATCCTAAATCATTCCCTCTCTCATTCCCTCTTTTATCTATCGGAAACACCTCCGATATGGCCTCCATAACGAACCTCGCCGGATCGACGCATTCCGATAAAGCTATCGGAATTTTCTCTCTCAACAAATCAATTTCTTTCTTTTTGCCAGTCACGAAGTTCCACAACTCTTTAGCTTCCATTTTCAAGCATGTTGATTTTAGGAGTTGCAAAAGGCCGTCTCCGTCGTCGACTTCGCCGTCGGGATTGTCTTCGACGTCATCATTAAGGGTTTTCACCGCAGCTCTAGTGTGGAACTCGACTCGGTTCATAGCGATCTTAACGCTGTCTTCGATGCTGAGTTCACGCTTCTTGAGTGATTCGAGGGAGGCCTTGGTCTCCGAGTCTAGTGTTTCGATTTTGCGTTTCAAGGCCTCCGATTGTCTCATCAGGTTTTGCTCGAGTGAGTTCATGTGATCGGAGAGTTCTTTCCAGAGAAGAGTGCAGCTCGTCATCAGGGAAGTCTGACGCTGGAACTCGTCGAAACTCGGTTGAGTTAACTCGGTCAACTCGCCTGGATCGGGTATCGACCCCATGGTTCTTGAACTTTCGTCTTTCTTTAACTCGTTCGGTGACTCAGTCGCTGAAACTTACGGAAAGAAAAAAAAGAAAGAAGAGATTAGAAACCCCAGCAAGCGAGAAAGACAGTAAGATAAAAGCTTAAGCTGATGCTGACGTGGGTATTTTAAAACAAGACACGTGTATTTCAAAAGAAAATGACGGTAATGATTCTCCTACCCTAGACTGCAGGTGTACAGGATAAGGGGTGCGCACGCCGGACGATGGACCTAAAATGCGCGGGTAGGGTGAAGGTGCGTAGGATAAAGACAAGGGAGGTGTTTGGTTGGTGTTAAGAAACAAGAGTTGGAGTGCTTTCTCGGAAACCGAAGTCAGATCAAAAAAGATAAAGAAAAGCAAACAGGGAAGAGAGAGAGAGAGGGAAAAAGCTGAGGAAAGTAAAGGATCGGTGGGCCAGTGCGGAGGGGACTGAACCTAACCACATGGGAAGAGTCAGAAAAAGTAATCAGGAAGGGGAAAAAAATAGAAAAAAATATTGAAGATAAACAAGAAATGGAGAGGAAGATGAGAAGGGGGGAGAAAGGAAAGGAAATTCTCTGGTGAACTCTGAAAATGGGATTATGAGAACAGGGCACGCGCATTTGTTTTTAATAAAAAAGGAAAAATCACATCAAAGATTAAAGATTGTTTTATTTGAGATGAAATTAATCACATCAAAGATTAAACTGTTTTATTTGAGATGAGATTAGTTTTTGTTAGGGTAAGTTGAGGTGATTATGGGTCGGTTAGATTTGTTGGAAATATATATTTGTGATTAATCATTTATGTGTTTATTTAGATTTGATTTAATTTAAAATTTTGAATTTAAAAATTTTTTAAATTTGGTTTAAATTAAAAAAATAAATTTTAAACTTACTTATTAAATTTAATTTATATAATAAAAAATTTTAAAAATGTGATTAAGCTAAATTTAATAAGATTATATTAATTTACATTTATATAAATTAAAAATAAAAATTAAATTTAACAAAAACTATATTTTTTATTTTTTATTTTTATATATATACAAATTAATTTATATATAATTCACATATATATAATTTATATATATGTGAATGTGAGTTGAACCGAACTTTAAATCTTTTGTTTAAAATTCGATCTAAAATTTAAATGAATTTAAAAATTAATTAAAATTTATTTAATGAATTTTAATATTTTATTTAAATTTTTTTAAAACTTGAGCAAACCTTTAAATTTAGACAAATAATTCAAACCTTAAACAAATCCAAAGGTAAGTAAGAAGATTGAAAATAATGACGATGAAATTAATTATTATAACTAAAATAATTGATTGGATTTTGATTTAATTATTTTGATTAATATATAATATTACATATTTTTTAAAATTAATTTGAATTTGAATTAATTTTTTTAAATCGATCCAATTTGAATTATCAGTTTAGTTTATCAAAATTTAAAATTTTTAAATTTTTTAATATAATTTTTAATATATTAAATAAATTTATATATAAAATAATTATTTTATTTTATAAATTTTAAAATATCTATTATTAATAAAAATATATAATTTTATTTAAATTTTTTTTATTTTTTAGTTTTCAATTTAAAAATCGATCCAAATTTAATATAAATATTTAATATCTAAACTTAAAATAAATCAAATAAAAAAATTTGATATGAGCCACCTTGAGCATAACATTTTAAAATGGTTTTTCTCACCTTTAATTACAACGGTGACATTGATTATTATGATAGTGAGACTAAAATTAATAGTATGATATATATTTGAATCAAATGCATCAATGATAGTAAAATGAATTATAATGAAAAAATAAATGATTATTAAGGTCCTATTTGGTGGATATGATACAATACTAATCATTTTATATTATATTTAATTTATATTTAAAGAAAGAGATAGAATTATATAAAAGATTAATTATTTTCTTAATATAAGAGGATTTAATCTTTTAAAAATGAAGATGATTATTTTTAATTTATAAGATTGAACTTATATGTCTTATTATATTTTTAAAAATTATATCAATAATTTAAATTATATAAACTTTGAAAAAAATAATTTTGACTAATAAATAAATTGTATTATCATAATCTTTGCATATATTAAATATAAGATAAGATGATATTATTTTATTTAATTTTATTTATAATATCATATTATAATCTTATGTATCAAACGTATTTTAAGAATATTAAATTAAAATTTATATATAATAAAATTTTAAAATTATTTAATATTTATAAAATTAATAAATACTTAAAAAATATTAAACTTTTTATGTCAAATAATAATTTTATTAATAAATAATTAAAAATAAGAGTAATATATCAAATGATATATTTTTAAATTTTTTATTAATTAGATAGTTATTTATTTTTAGTTAAAATAATAATACAATAATAAATTTTATTTTTAATTCATAAAATAATATTTATTTATTAATTTATTATTTATAGTATAATAATAATTTTTATTTATTAAATTATTATATAATAATTAATAAAAATTTATTTATTATATTAGATTAAAATATTTTTAAATTTTTTAATAAAAAATAAAATAACAGTCGACTGCTCTGTAAACATAAAAATGAAAGAAAAAAAACCAATTGACCACTGGCTCTCCGATAACCAACTGAGATGCGAACCGATGAGATGCTCCCACTATATCATGCCGTAAGAGAACGAAATGGATAACCGTTGTTATTGAGAAAAAAAAAAAAAAGAAAGATCCCAACCGTGTCGCACCAACCCTCGGATGGCTTTCAAACGGAACCCTAGTAACTTGGGTGATGGGACCCTTTTTTCTCAGAGATGTACACTTTTGGCACGTGAGCACGAGAGGTCAATGATGGTGTTTCGTAATGGGTGGAAATTAAAATATGGGAAAGGTTAGGTGATTGGTTTTCCTCAAGTGGTTGAAGATTTTGAATTGCGTTGCGGATTGGCGATAAGGCTTTGGAAAATTTCAATGATGATTTTGGTTTCCATTTATTTCCTTCGTTTCAAATTCAAAAGCATGTTTTGACAATAGGAGCCTCGAGATTGAATTCTTAAGAGTTAATAATTTATGAATTGATCAGTAACTAATTAATTTTGATAGCTTATTTTAAAAGAGATAATTCTCAATATTAGTATAGGAGTTATAGTTTTGTATTTAGCTTCACAAAATTTTTTCTATCCAAATATAAAATTGAAAATTAGGTCGTGTTTGTATGATAGGAATAGAATTAATATTATAAATAATCTTTAAACTATAATAATATATTTAATTTGATATTAAATTTTAAAAATTTTTAATATAATATTTAAATTATAGATTTATTAATTAAGACGATATTAATTGATAACTTTAAATAATAATAAGTAATGAATAAATAATTTTTTAAATATTATATTAAAATTTTAAAAATTAAATAGCATATTAAATATTTTTGTTATAATTTAAAAATAAATCTGATAAAATATAAATTTGTAAAGGTTTATTGTGTATAGACTTAAAATGCATAATGCAAGGTGGGTCTATGGATACAAAGTTCATGTGCTATAAGGTCATGCACAATTGGCCATGAAAACCTTCCAATTGGACAAGAAAGATTCCAAGGAAAAAAATTATGAAAAGCCATAGTAGTTATTCTTCAAATCCTACTAATTGCATGTTGGGTACAGTTGCGGACACTACATCATCTTCGTCATTATCCTTTCAGTTTTTTATTCACTACCACCAAAATACAGCCAATTAAAGACTAGAGCCCTGAACCTACAGCTACAACACCCAAAGGGGTATCCCACTTTCAAGATCTCTTATTCGCACCACATATTCTGAATCCAAATCCATCCCCCCATTGTTTCAAGATCTTTCTTGAAATCACTTTTGTTTTAAGTAACAAAATATTACTATTATCGTTGGCATCTTATAACCATTGAGTCTATTGAACCCATATTATTGTATGATACCAAAATCCTTTTAATTTTATTGTTTAATAAGTTGGTTTAAATGTTTTAGGTTTAACCATTTATTACTAAGTGATCAAGGCAAGTTCGAAAGTTAAGCTAGGTCAAATCCTTAGGAAAAGTTATAAAGAGAGTTTTAGATTGAATGGTGTAAGATATTTATCAATAAATTATTTAAAAGGAAATGAATTGAAATTGAAATTGAAAGGAAATGATTTAAGAAAAAGAGCCAAGAAAACAAGTTGAATTGGTTTGGAAAAGCGTTGAAGAAATTGAAAGAAATAAAATAAGAAAAGACCAAGGAAAACGCTATCTGGTTCAGGCATCATTTGAATGCCTTAAATGGATATCCAAATGCCCAAAAGTAATTTCAAAACAAAAGCTATCTGGTTCAGGCATCATTTGATGAACATATGGCATTCAACTGCCCTCATTGGCATCCAACTGCCCAAAACAAACTTTTTAACAAAAATGTATCAGGATTAGGGCATCCGACTACTTAAGTTTAAGATTCAAAAAGATCATGCTCAAATGGTTATATATTTTTTTAATTTTTTTTCATATTATTCTTTTTAAAAAGTATTATTTATCTTCTTCCAATACATCCTGCTTAGGATCAACTATAATCTTGAAAAAGATTTTCACTTAATCATAGATATATTTTTCCTTGTTCAAGAAAATGAGCTCGTATCAAAAGGAAGTGTATCATGTATGTATAAAAATAATAAGTTTGTGCAGGCATAGATGCATGAATCCCCGACGATGTGACTTGATGTCAACAACTAATCATGTGATTCGAAGGCCCAACATTAAACGGTTCATATATAGTTCACTGAAATCATCATTAACAAGAATGAAACTCATACCTTCTTTACGTTAAGGATCCTAACCTATCTTATCCTATTCTATTAATATAATCAAAATACAATTCATTTAGCTAATGAAATTGATTTAATCCGTTAAATTTGAATATTTCATTTATAAAATTTAAATTTAAATTTTATTCTTAATGATGTCTTTTAATGAAGAATATGTAAATTTAAAATAAATTTTTTTTATGAAATCTGCCATCTATTTTGATTTTAAAATGAGAGGCCTCCGTCTACTTAAACTTTTGTCAACAAAAAATAAAGAATAGTTCATTTATTTACGAGCAATCGGCCTAAAGAGAGACTTGGCAATGAATCCTAAGCGAGTGATGGATCAAATGATTACACCAATAACCGTGTTTCAAAGTTGAAACCTGCCCTTTATTATTCTTTAAAGAAACTCACTTGTTTGCATTATTGTTCCCATTTTCCCCTACTTAAGTCAGAGGCCACGGCGTATAAAGAAAAGGAGAAGATGATGCAATGCGGTATTCAAAGGTAACAGCCATGTCATTCTCATCTTTCAAACAGAGACAACTCGGCCAAGTATAGACTCCTAGAACATAGACTAACACATAAACCACTCTGTTGAAAACCCTCTGCAATACATGCAAATAAGATAATTTCTCTCAAGATCAAAATCCTTGTTAAACAACATCACGCTCAAATCATTTTCCAATAGCATGTCGGTTATTCACATACTGCAACTTAATTTGAATGCCTGGCGAGAAAATTTTCATCCTCTTTTTTTCTTGGTGAGAAAATTAAATCGGTTATTCCAAGATAGCCATAAAAGATCCTCTTTTTTTCTTCGGTCCTCTAATCCACCTTCACAAGACTAGGAATTTTCTTATCATCCTTGCCTCCAAGGTCAAGGGCTGTACACGGGACCAACCCTTGCGGGCAGGGTTTTACTTCTCAAAATATTCAGCAAGCCTGACAGCATCCTTCGGGCCTGACTAATTAACCAGCAAACTTGACCACTGTAATACCCAGATGACCTTCTCTAAAATTCTTGGCCTTTGACTTGCCACTTCCAAATCCAAGATCTGAAAGCACAAGCATCACAGTAAAATGCGATTATTTCAAAATAAATTGACTCGTCGAACACACTGTCACTGGCTGGCACCAAACAGTAACACAATGAAATGCATATGTCTATCATTATCTTCTCTCCACAATCGATTTATGGGATATGCAACATTCATGCTTATATACCAGTGGTTTTCCTTCCCGATGTGAAAATGAAGTGAAATTGAAGCATTTTAATTATTCCCTTGGAACGTATAGCGTTACATTTTCTCTCATTCAATATCATCCTGTTTATTTTTCTTTGGAGCGTTTTAACATATGTAAACTCTACCACCATGCTTTAACTCTTCACCTTGTTAAATGACTTAATTAATTCTCCCCGACTACCTTTGTTAATACACTTAAAGTGAAGTCAAATGAGTAAAGAATTGATTCTGATGCCACTTATCAAATAACCATTACTCTTTTTCTGTAAAACTAACTTATTCGAATATACAATACCAATGCTTATATACCATTTCTTTCCTATCCGGTATGAGATTAATGTACTCTATTTACTCTTTTGAACAATTAACATGACATTCTTTCTTAATCTCATAATGCTTTCCTCACGACTACCATCCTACCTGCTCTTCTTTGAAATACTTGACGTTGTTAGATTTGTCACCATATTTTACTTTATCCCAACACCTTATTAAATGATCAAACTGATGCATTCTGCCCATTCCTTTAGAGGACTTGAGTGACACATACAACCAGCCACCCAACTATATATTTCAGTTTAGAACTTGAATTCCAATAGGTAAAAAAAAAAAGAGTTCCGAAAAAGATGAGGACGAAAATGATAACAAATTTATCCATATCAAGAAAATGCCAACGATAAAACAATCCAGATTCCAAAGTTCAAGGTAATCAGATATAAACAAACCTCCTTTCTAGGCCTATACCTGTGTTTTATAATGGTCCTTGCCCAATGCCCACTCTTCCTTCCCCCACCCCCCCAACCAAATGGGAAAAAATTCTTTTTGTAGTCATTTTCTCCTAGATTTTTCTTTAGCAAACTAAAACGGATGTCCTTTGCAGCTGTTTGAGGAATCTTAAAACATAGAAAAGCTAGACATTGTCTATAATGGGAACCTGGCATTCGCTAGGGCTCGCCTTCTCTAAGCATTTTCTACATAAAGGCATGTCGCCGAGATGAAAATTTTTTCTTACCTTTAAGTATCATCCTGGCATTGTTTTACAGTTATTATATCTTGATCACCTGATCAACATCTTTGACCGCCAAATCAACATCCATTGACTATCAGGTTAACAATCACCTTTACTGCTCCAACACTTAACCAATATTAGGTAAGAAAACTGACCACATCAGTACAAGCTAACTGCCAACTGACCACGGCAGAACCAACCCACTATAAAAGGTAAGATCAGGACACATGTATCTCATTCTGAACCTTTTACTCACTTTCACCTGCTTCCTTATGTTCGTCTTTATACCTTCCCTCACTTACTATACCCTGCTAACTTTAAGCTTCGGAGCGTCCCCCGAAGTCCTACCTCTAATGTCCCTTGACCATTACAGCCTCCAAGTCAGCTAGCTGACCAAGCCTTCCAACAAGCATCCAATCACCATACCTAAAAAACCATCTACACCAATAAACACAAAAACAAATATCTAGAATTCTAAAACTGAACCTACCATATATTCACATCATGTAAAATATTAACAATTCAAATATTTATATCGTTTTTTATACAAAAATGACGTGTCATAATTCATATTAATACGAAAACATGAAATACATTTTTTTTCAAACCCATATATAGTTTTTGCTAAATTTTAAACGAATATTTTATTCGTATTTCATGTTGTGTCACCGTATCATATTTTAGATTGTCAGAACTCTAAAACCATCAATTTAACTGTTAATAACCAAACATACATAAAACTTTTATAAACTGACCAGCAACACAATACCGGCAGCTTAACACTCATGCAGAGGTTGAAAGTGAACTACGATTAACAACACTGCTTGCAACAAGAACCTACAATCAATATTAGGAATATGCACACATCAAGGAATCAAATACAAGCTAAACTACAACCAACATCATCCAAAAGCTCTCAAGAGAACCATAGGTTCTCTCAACACAATTAAACCAGCATTCATGGATTTCAAAAAAGTGATCTCCTCAACCCTCATCACCTTTATATCCCAGCTGAACAGGAACACCAACAGCCAAAAAATCTGTGTCTTTCTTAATAAAGCAAATTACTAACCTAAATGAAATACAAACCAGAAGCAAATGTGACTGGATGGTGATCAGGTCAGACTGTTACTATATTTTAAGAGAAAACTAACTTATTTTAAAGGCAAGTTAAAGGTAAGAAAAACAGAGTAATAGACTACTTTCATGAAGGAAACTTTAGGCCTTCAACTTCAGTTTTAAGCAAACTTATACCAACAACCAAAAAAATGGCTATAATAATCCGGCCAACCTAGCCATGCCATATGGGTGAGCAAGAAGTATTTTTAAGTATTTTCTTACTCTAAAATATACAATCTTTGAAATCATAATATTCATAAAATATTGAAGGATGAAAATTTTCAAAACCATATCTATCTTTCAAAGTAATTATTAACTCTTGTAACTGTAAAGTAGCTTTGTAAATACCATTTTCCAAATTATTGCAAAAACAGAGAAGCAATTACAGAGGTACAGAGGAAATCGATGGTCAAACAAAAGAACTAAATGAGAAAAAAAAATCAATAGAGAAAATCTCAATAATTATCTTAAACATTCATCACTCAAAACTTGATCAAAACTAAGATAATAAAGATACTTATAACTAAAACCCAACCCTAATAAAATGCAAACACCAAAAATAAACCTAAAACCTTAATACTTGGAAGAAGAACAAAAATAGTAATTAATATAAAACAACCTAAATATTCTAAAATGTTCTAAGTATATGTAAAAGTTACAATTAAGACCATAAAATATGAAATGAAGTCCTAGACAATGTAATCTCTTAATTAGATATCTCCATCCACAATCAATTCATCTCAATGTAAGTCCTCTTAAAGACAACGGGGTCATTGACATCATCTTATGATCATATGGCTTAACCTATGTTCTGTATGATGCTCATGGAATATCAAGATCGCGATAGAACCCCTTTTGAGCTGCATAAAACAAATGTGTCACAACTTTAAAAGGACAGAGTTACATTTGAACCATTAAGTGAAACGTGAAGATGAAAATATAAAATAAATTAAAGAAAAACCAACATAACACAACTACTTTAACCATTGAAAGTCTCAATAATCTACTTTAGAGGAAAAAAAATTGTATATATAAGGGAAAACGATCTGCATTTAATTGATTAAAATTGATGCAAAATCTTAATTCAACGGGAAAACATCAAACCTTGGTATAGTCCCAAGGCGACGTGGATCATATTCTGTTGCCTGCCTAAGGGCCCTAGCAAAAGCCTTAAATGTTGCCTCAATAATATGATGTGAATTTTTTCCTGCAAGCTGTAAAAAGCCAATTTGAAATATTATGTCAAAAAACCTAGAAGTAAAAATGAAAAGAAAGATAATTAAAAGTTTTATGGCTGATTTTGATAAAGCAAACATATGGGCTCAAGCTCAACTACTTACTAAAAATTTAAAAAAGTGCTTCGAAGGAGCAACTACTGAAAAGAATTTGTAAAAGCATAACATTTATTAGTAATAAGATTTCTTTTTATTTAAAAGAAAATTTGGATTGTTTAATATTAACAAATAAAATTCAAGAATGTCTCAGTATAAATACCTGCCGTATGTGTAGTGTCATGCCAGAAGTATTGACCAAAGACTGGAAAAAATGCTCCACCAACTGTGAATATTAGGGTTTAAAAATGTGTTGGTGAAATTCAGCATAAACATATTTGAAAAGAAAGCAGTATGAAAGAAGCCAACAACTTAAGAAAGCAAAATAGAAAGTTGAAACCCGGTTGACAATTTTCCTCCATGGTCAACAACAAAAACTGACATTGTTCGATTAGAAGAACAAAAACAAAGTGAATTACCTGAGTGTCATATGTCCCAACTCTTGCAGTGGGAATGTTCAAATCATAACTTAGATGTGGTCGGCCAGATAAATCCTTGGACAAAACAATATAAAATTTAGTGTATTTATGAATTTGAACATTTACAAGAAACATGGTTTCTAAAGAACTACCTTTAGATAAAGTAAGTTCAATAATATAGCATACAATCATCACCAACCACAGCATAAGTTTGAGGATTATCTGTTTGTCAAGAAGGGCTTTGCTAATCCTAATAATTTTGAAGTTCTCTGACGTGTTTTCTTTGCATTGAATCCTATACAGCTCTATGCATTAGCAGGAAATATCTTGGAATCAAAATACAAATTGACACTTTGAGTTTCAAATAGAACCATAAGATCATGCTTAAGGAATAATGGTGCATGTCATACCAGTGAAACATGTATCAATGCTTCATCAAGAGGAGCTGAAAAATCACCAAACCGGTTAATTCCTTTCCTGTCACCAAGTGCCTGAAGCAATGCCTGAAGAGGACAAATAACTCATTAATTCTCAAAGCATGCATGGACAAGGAAATGCAAATCAAAATGTCCAACTGCTGACATAAAACCAGTATAGTGACACCCCTTCGCAGATAAACTAATAGTTATTTTGCACACAACGTTTACAAACATAAGACCGTATACAATAGGAAATGCTTCAATACACAAATTAATAAGAAAAGAGCTAATTTCTTGGAGTAATTAAGTTCAAGGAGGGAGCATTTGAAATCAAGACCTTCCCTTTAGAGTTAAGGTGATCAGTTCACAATGTCAAAAAGGTATATTATTAATTTTCAGGATAAATTCAGTAATAAAATTCATGTAAATCTTAGAAATTATAAGAAAAAAAATACCGTTCCAAGAGCAAGGGCGACATCTTCATTGGTGTGATGATCATCAATATGAATGTCCCCGGTAGCCTTGACGTGCACATCGAACAACCCATGAGACGCTAGTTGCTAAGAAAAAAAGCCATGCAACCCAGTTAGCAGCTTAGTAAAACAACAAATTCACACCAAAAAGAAAAGAAGGAAAATAAAGAACTATACATCCAGCATATGATCAAGAAACGGAATACTAGTACTAGAATTAGCAACCCCAGTGCCATCCAAGTTAATTTTAACCCACACATTAGTCTCTTTCGTCACTCTCTCCACCTCTCCAATCCGACCTAACCCAAAATAAAAAAGTTAAACCCAAGATGAAAAAGATAAGATAAAGCAAAAAAAAGGGATCTTTTTGTTATTTGGGATTTGAGTTTCTTTTACCTGGATTGGCTGAAGGCAAAGTGGGGGGAGGGGAGCCGTTGTTTTGGGGAAGAGAGGAACAACAAAGTGGTGAATGGGAATTATTATTCATTTGTTTCAAAGTGAAAGGGGAGAGTGAGTGTTGCAAAGGAAGAAAAGGAATGGAGGGAAACCTAAGAGGAATTCTAGGGTTGGTTTTTAGTAGGGCAGTTGCGGCGGCTGTGGAGGTGGAGTAGATGCTCAGGAGGCGAGGAGGAATTGAAAGCTCCATTTGTGGTAGCTTTGATAGGGAGCGAGAAAGAAGTAAAAAGACAAAAAGAGATGTCCAAGGTAAACACAGACACGACGTCGTAAATAGATCAATTTTAACCTACACAAAAAAGGACATGACGAGAGAGACGGTATGTATATTTTTAAATAAAATAAATGTATTTGATGCAACGTGTACATTTTTTTTTGAAATTTTTAATAGGGTATATCTCGTGTACAATCTTTTGTTTAGGGTTGGTAGTCTAATTTATCTTCAATGAATTTTGATTCGATTTGATTTTATAAGGTTAAATTTTTTTAAAAAAATTAAGTATTGGGTTAGATCGAGTTGGGTCGAATAATAGTAAGAAAAATATATAATTATTTATTTATATATCTTTATATCTTTATATATTTATATAATTTTATATTTATATTGAAAAATAATATTTTATATTTTAAAAATAATATTTTATTAATTTCGGGTAAGATTAAATTGAGTACGATATATATAATATCGGATCGAATCGGATTCAAGTATAAAAAAATAAAAAAAATTCTCAAGTCAAGTCGGATTTGGATTTTATGAATATAAAATCAAATCGAGTTCAAGGTATATAAAAATCCATCTCGACTTGATCCATTGTCATTCTTACTTCTATTACAAAAAGAGGTAAAATGTCAAAAGTAAAAGTGATGTGACTTTATTAAAATTTGGTTGATTTTTTTATGTCATTAACTCTTTTTAGTAATAAAAGTAAATCATGAGAAAAAAGTTTTTCACAATGAGTACAAGTGAAAAACTAGCAAATCATAAAAAATGTATGCAAAGTTTATCTAATTTTTAATTTACCCCTGCATCTTCACCATTATATTTACATGGTTAAAGATGATATTATACATATAAACTTTTTGAATTTATACTCTCCAAGCATCAACTCTAATATTGTGTAAACTAATATAAGGATAAAATAAAAAGGAAAATTACATAAATAGACTTTGAGGTTTAATACGATTTAAGTTTACCTTTTAAAATTTAAAATATGACACTTTAACTACCCTATAATATGTTTTATTGTATTTTTACCCAAAACCGTTACTTTTTTAATTTTTTAATTTTTTTTCATATCCTTTATTTTCAATTCATCTTTTCTATCTACAATTTATCTTTTTTTTCTCTAAAATCAAATGAATTTTCTTTCTAAACAAGTAAACCCAAAACCACCAAAAAACTCTTCTTCACAAACCCAAAAAAACAACCTCAAACCAAGACCTAAAATTTTGACTTTGCTTTTGGATGTATAGTGTTCTTTAGCTGTGTTGATTATTTTTTGTTGAGACTTTCAATTTTTTTTTTTTTTGATTATCTGTTTATATGCAAATTTTAAGTATTGTGTCCTTTTGGGAATGAAATTTTTGTTGTTAGGAATTATATCAAGCATAAAACAAACAACTAATTTTCATTCAATAGCCACCAGAAAAACTAGAAACACCCATAAACAAGCCCAAAAACCCAAAAACCCATAAACAAACCTAGCACCTATCAGAAAAACTCACAAAATTCAAGTTCACTCTGAATTACTCACATATAGTAAACCCACAAAATAACCACAAACCCACAAAACAACCATAAATCTATATAACAACCACAACAACTTATCAACAATGAATTTTTTTATGGGTTTCGGTTTGATTTTTTAAAAGTTTTTGGGTTTTTAAAATAGAGACGAAAAGAAGAAGAGGGAAAAGATCAACTGGTGGCACACACCATAATAGTATACATTTTCAATATTTGATCCCCCACTTACTAAACATTGTGAAGAATTCATGTTTCCAGTTCAATTTTTCTTTGAAAAGTTTGAATATAAGAAAAACCAAAAAAAAAAATTTAGGAAAAGAATTAAGGTTTATTCATTAGGTGTTAATGATGTTAATTAAAACTAACGAAATGTCATAGATACATAGTTCATGGTGGTTAAGTGTCACTTTTTAAACCTCATAAGGAAACTCAAATCGTGTTAAACCTCGGGTATATGTATGTAATTTATCCTAAATTAAATAAACTTGATATTGGTGTAACTAGCTGACATGTGAAGATTAAAATGATTGTTAAGCTTCATATAGTTGCATATTAATGACAACATAAATAAATCAACTTGATAATGATAATGGTGTGGCTTGTTAACCTAGAAGCCTTTCAATGCAATCCTCAAATATATATATCTTCCATGTTTGAAATTTGAAATTTGTATTTGTTTTAGAATGAAAATACATCATCGAAAAGATTTTTCCACCTACCATAACTTGTTTTTGGCAATCTTTGCTTGGCAATGCTAATAAGTTTCATAGCATTTATAATTTTTTGGTCTTTATTTGTAGAGCCAAAGTAAACTCATTTGTTTTACCATCAAAATTCATACAATGCAAAAATTATATATAAAAAGCAAAAAAAAAAAAAAAGATTTGGGTTAAAATCTTAAAACAAAAAATTTACCAAGTTGGTGAATAGTGAATGGTGACTTGTGGTGAATTGACTCTCTACTATTGTGTTGTATTGGTGCTAGGTGGTAGGTAAGCAAGTAGAGATGGCAACAGGTCAAGTTAGTGCAGATTTTGTTCGCCCTAAGTTTGACTTTTATAAATTATTCCTGACTTGGCATCATGTTATTATTTTTGATACGTTACTCTAACTCGACACATTTATGTATAATTTGTGTCCAACTTACATTTGATTCGAAATTAAATTAATGATTTTAATTTAGTATTCATAAAATGATTTTTTTAATATAAATAATATTGTAATTATATATAAATATAATATTTTTATTAAATTAATATTTTAAACTAAGACAATAAATAATAATTTTATTAATATATACATATATATAAATAATTAATTAAATAAATAATTTATATTTATCCCAAAGAGGGTTGAGGCAGAGCACCCTAAAACTCATAACTGATTCGAACTTAATTTTTTTTTCAAAAGAATACCCAACCAACCTCTTACCCAACCTTTAAATTCACAAAAAAAAAAAAAAAAACCTATTGGATCAAAATAGATTGAAGCTTATTAGATATGAATTATTTTATCATTTTTATGACCAAGGACCAAAGGCTATTGCTTGTTAGGTCTTTACCTTGGTACTTGGGGCTTAATGGGTTTAAGGTAGAAAGTGAGAAAGTTAAAGATAGATTAGACTTCAGAAAAGAAACAAGAATGAGGAAAGAATGGGTGACAAGAGGGGATAGATGTCATGTAAAATGCTTTAAGGGAGTAGACAAGGTGCTTCAATTCACATCGGATAAAAAAGAAAAAGTTATTGGGCATATAAACATTGGCATTGCTCATCACAATAAGCTAGTTTTGTGAGGAATGGGTAATGGCAATGTGACAAGTAATATCAAAGCCAACCTTTGACTTATCCGACTCCATGCTAAACACCTTAGTAGAGGTAAGTAAGGTAGGCCGGTCTAGCCACTTAATAAGGTGTTAAAGTAAGGCATGATGGCAGAGTCTAACCACACCAAAGTGCTTTAAAGGGAGTATAGATGGTGGTAGTTATGACGAGGATATCACGAGACTTGGTGAGAGAGAATGCTATGCCAAGTGCTCTAAAGGAATAGGCAGGATGCTTTAATCTCACATCGCATAAAAAAATGAAGGTCGCTGGATATATAAACGTTAGTGTTGCACACCCCAATAAGCCAAATTTGTAGGGAGAGGACAATAACCACTGACATAAAGAACTAGTAATAAAAAGAGAGTAAAGAGTGACGTGGATCTTATATAAGGGAATTGGAAATTCTAAGGCAAAGAATTAGAAAAGAATAAAAACTAAATGGAATAAAATAAAATTAGGTTTTATTTTTTATTAAATATTTTATGATTTTTTGGTATTTAAGTAAAAATTTTAAAGGTGTTCAAAAAAATTTTAAGGGTGTTTAAGAAAAAACAATTTTTTTTTTATTTTTTTGAGATATTCATAAAGATTCTAATGAAACATATGCATCTGTTATTAAATAATGTTTTTTTTTCTTAATTCAAATTTTAGCTTCACCATTAGTTTTCAATTAAGCTTTTAGCTTATTTAAATTTGAATTTTTTGAATTTAGATAGTTAATTTTACATTTATCAAATTTGGTTAAATTAAGTGCTAATTTAAGTGGATTAAATGAATTTTTTAGCAAAAATGGACTTTGTCAACTCTATTTTGAAAGGTGAAGCATTTTATCAAAAATTAATCCAATTGACATGACATTTTAACTGCATCAACAAATTGATAAAAGGAGAGAAATATTAAAAAAAAAAGTCACAAAAGTATGTAATAAAAGAAAAACAATACTAAAAAAATAAAAAAAATGAATCGATTAGTCTCTTTTCATCTTAAACTTTAAGCACAAAAAATTAGTGGATTTAAAATTTTATACTTTAGTATTAATTTTATAAATAAATAAGTATTTAAATTTATTTTTATAAAAAAAAAAAACTCAATAAGTTTAATTAAACAAAGTTAATCTTAATAATTGATTATATATAACAAACAATTAAAACTGTCCCCATATTCTTTCAAACACTAATTTAAGAAACAACTATTCAATGTCTTTAAAAAGAATTTAAGGTTAGATTTAGAGATAGAAATATGGGACACGTGTTATAAAAGTTTACAGATATTGTATGTCTTTAAAAAGAGTTGAAGGCTATATTTGGGGATAAAAACATTGGTTTGCAAGTGGTTGTTGTGAGTTGTCCATTAATGTTATGACAACTCATTCGTTTGACAAAGAAATTTATTGAAGGGTTAAATGGGAAACACAAAGTTTATACGGAAAGTTAATTTTGTGTTTTTTACACTCCCACTTTGGTTCTTATACATTTTGTTACTTTTTTCTCTTGCATCATTTTTTTTCATTAGGTTAGTCCTCTGTTGTTTTTATGTGAATTAGAGCTATATTTTTGCATTTTTTCATCGAATAAATGTTTGCATTTCCTTTTTTCTTCTTAGGATGACTTTGTATTTGTTTTTTTTATAGGTTTTTTTGTGCTATAAGTTTTATGTGGTAAGGCTTGGTTTTTACTATTTATCATTTTTGTTTTTTTTATGCATTGGCTTTTTTGTGTATTGCTAGAGTTTTTTTTTTTCAA